GGCTCTCCCACTAGCAAAATGGTTGTTTTCCCCAGTTTTGTGTTAAGATTTTAACAGTGTAATAGCTCTATAAATATTGCATAAATGGTATCTCTTCAATGAATGAGAAGAAATATATATATAAGTGAGAAGATTTCTTCACTATAATCATTTTGCCGTTATGTGTGAAGCAAACATACTCAACTTATGTATGAGGTATGCTGTGTGCAGGGGAGTAAGATACTCCATAATGAGATATATACCACTGCAGCTAGTGGCGAACGTATTTGGTTGCAAACGTGTGCAAGTGCACACATAAATTTGGTCAAATATTTTTTTAATAAAGAAGAGATATATATTTAAAGGGGAAAAATGCATCATTTTAAATGACACATCTTATATCCTTTCACCCTCACAAAGAGATGAGACCCACATCTTTAAAACTTTTTTCACTCATTCTTTTTTTTTGTGATTTATCTCTTTCTCTCACTTAAAATGACACAACTTTGTGTCCTTTAGAATAATACACACTTTCCCCATATTTTAATTAATTAGGAATGTCACTCAAGAAACAATTTTAGTGATTGTATTGCCAGAAATACAAGCACAGGTACAAAGAAAGAAACACATCTTATTTACTGCTTATGTTTTAGTGATTCTATATCATTAAGTTGATTACTATTTTTTTATGTTAAGTCGGAGTTTTTTTTTAGGATTATATTCCTTATATTATATGAACGAAATTTTTTGTCATATTAAGAAAAAGACAAGTTATATAATATTAAAGAAAATGAGATGACATATTATTTAATTAATTGGTCTTGTCTTTTCTTAATATGACAAAAAATTTAGTTCATGTAACACGAGGAATATAAATCTCTTTTTGTTTATATTCTTTTATTTTTTAATGCATTTAAAATTTTGTATATTTTTTTTTTGGAGGCACTGCCCCCAAACTCCCTCCATTAAATATTTGGACTAAATATGCACACATAAATAAAATTTTCTGAGTTGCTACTGATTGCAGCCATGTTTGTCCAAACGGATAAAGATAAAATACTTTATATTTGGGCATTTATGATTTTCCAATTGTAAAAAGAAACATGGTCGAGAACAATTGCAATCCTTCTTTGGAATATTCCTAGTTTCTAAAACTAACTCGGACTCGCACATTTGAATTCGTTGTCATGAATATATTTTTTAATAATTTGTTACCTACTTTGCAACAACTCTCTTCCTTTCTGTACAAGTCCTAGTTTATCTTATGCGTTTACGTCACTTAGGGTATATTTGGTACACATTTAAATAAGATTTTATAGTACAAGATATGATAATATAAGATTTAATTGTATAAGATCTGATTAAATTTTAATACTATCTAATATTTGTCATAGTATTATATAATATAATATCATTCAATATTTAGTAATACATTGTATAATAATAAATAGGATAAAAATAAATATTTTTAACAAAAATATCCTTTAATAAAGAATTTATATAATTCTTCCAAATGTCATATGATATTAATTCTTATAAAAATCTATTGATTAGTGTGTCCAAAAAATATATTAATTTTTATAAAATTAAAAATCTGCAATATTTTTTTGGGAAAAATATTTCTCGAGTTACCGGAGATAAAATTATTTCCAGTGAGCTCAAAATAACGTCGTTATGGGGTTATAAGATTAAAAAAATTATAATAATAAAGACTAATATAACCCTGCAATATATTATAATTACAAAAATACCTTGACTTCTGCCCCAAAACGATATCGTTTTGGGCTCACCGAAAATCACTTATCTCCATTGACTGAAGGAATTCTTTACCCTATTTTTTTTATAAATATTAATATATTTTTTGGACACACTAATCAATAGATTTTATAAAAGTTAATATGATATGACATTTGGAAGAATTATTTAAATCTCTACCACAAAACTCAACATAGATAATATTCCATGCCAAATAGAGCTATAATAAATCTCAACATAAATATTGCATACATGGTATCTTATACAATACCATGCAAAATACTAAATACTGGATAATAAATCTCAACACAAAACTCCAGTATTGAGAATTGCACTGATCAACGATGTTAATCAAGGAAGCACGGACACTTGTAAAAACAGGAAGAGTCGGGTCCGACACGCTCCGACACGGGGACACGCTCCGACACGGTGTCGGTCACGCGGTTGACTTTTTCTGACACGTTGACCATTCCGACACGCGAATTTGACTGTGTCCGACACGGTCAAATGGCATTTTCGTAATTTTTTTTAAAAAAATTTATTTTTTAAAGTTTAAATATATTAATAAAGCTTCCACCTGATCATATCAATTTTATCTTTTGTCTTTTTTCCCCTTAAGTAGATAAGAGATCATCTCAGCATCATTGTTGTCAATTCCTATCACGCTCTTATTGTATCTTCTTCTCTCTGATCTCTCTCTAATATGATTTGATCTCTCTATCTGATATTATATCTCTCTCTCATCCCAGTTCTTATTTTTTTTATTAAAGCTTCCATCTTTATAACGTATTGATGGGTATTATTAATTTAGTTTCATTTTTTTTGTTAATTATTAAATATTAAATAAAATATACACTATATAAATTAAATATTATTTAATATTAAAACGTGTCCCAACGTGTCGAAATCCATAATTTTTTAGGATTGACGTGTCGGAGTGTCGTGTCGTGTCACGTGTCGCGTGTCGTATCGGTGCTACATAGATGTTAATACATCAGCCCCTACGACAGACCCAATTTTTTTTTATGTCTACACACTTAATGGTTAGGGGGGAGGGGTAGCGCCATAAAAAAAAAAAGTTTAAAGAAATTTTTAAATGCATTAAAATATAAAAAAATATAAACAAGAAAACAAAAGAAAACAATTCAAATATATCAAGCTTTGCTATTTCATGCATATCTCAATTTTTGTAAATGCTATTTTAAGCTAGAGGAAAATATTTTTACTTCCTCAACAAATATTACGGAACCGAATTCAATTCCTTAGAAAAAAAAGTCGACTCGTGGTCCCTATGAAATTCAAAATAATCCTATGTTAGTCATTTTGAGGGACTAACATAGATTTTCTTTGAATTTCAGAGGGACTACAATTTCGACTAACTGTGTCTATTTTGAATTTCAGAGGAACCAAAAGTCAACTTTTTTATTTTTAATTTTGAATTTCAGAGGAACCAAAAGTCAACTTTTTTATTCTTAAGGGATTAAAATGGGCCCTGCGATTTTTGTTGAGGACCCGAAATGTACTTTATACTTCAAGCTATCTCAAACAATTTCTTTTTTTGTGTCTGCACTTGCACAAATAGGCAACCATGTAGGTTCGCCAGTGATTAGCCTTTTATCAGGCCTAATATCACCCCTTAGGCCAGATATTACCCCTTGGGCTTGATTAAGTTATACTTTATTTTAATGTATTAAGAGATTATGCTGTATAAGTTTATACTATATGATGGTCATACCAAACAATTAAAAATATCATAATGTATAATATAAGATTATATTATCAAGCCTTATACATCACACCAAACAGGCTCTAAGTATCTATGTTGCACCGACATTTTAAAAAACTTGAAGTGTCGTGTTCAACACTTCCTGACACCTGACACTCTGACACACTCCAATATCTATAATATTTGAAATTTCATTACATATCATGAAAAAAATTGATCGATGATTTATCAAACTAATATAATAAAAATCAAAAACAGATATCGAATAAATCTCACTAGAGTATATAAGAGATTTTTAATTTGATATTATAATAGTAAATATTTATATATATATATATATATATATATATATATATATATATATATTGCAAAATCAATAGGTATCATAAATTTTATTTTATTTTATTTTAAGTTATTAAATATAATATATATGGTTTAAATTAAAAATATTATTTAATATTGAAATATGTTTTTATATTTTTTAAAGGGAAAAACATCTATCCTTTTAAAGTGATATAAGTTTATACCCTTTTAGATCTTAACCGTTGATTTCTGTCCATTAACGGTTATAATCTATTGGGCCAAACTTAATTGGCCAAATTTATTATTAATTAATTAATAATTTTAATCCAATAAATTATAACCGTTGATGAACGAAAATCAACGGTTAGAATCTAAAAAGATATAAGTTTATATCTTTTAAATGGAAAGATGTTATTCCTTTTTTAAATTAACGTACGGAAGAAGTCGTGTCGCGTGTTTACCATTATTACGTTATCTTCGCCTCGGACGCTCACGTGTTTGAAATACTTTGTTACTGTAAGACAACAAGTTAGCAATTTTTTTTTGGGAAAAGTGTGTATAATTTTGAAGGATGTAAAGTTGTGTCATTTTAAGAGAGAGAAAGAGATAGATAAAGGAGGAGAGAGTTGACAAAAAAAATAAAGTTGTGGGTCCCACCTCTTTGTGAGAGTGAAAGGATGTAAGTTGTGTAATTTAAATGTATAGACACTTTTCTCATTTTTTTTTATCGGATTGGGATCAGAGTCTTAGATGAAATGACAAATCTGAAATGGACTCTTCTCTCTGTGAATGTACACTAACGATGATTGTGAGATGAATCACAAATGAAAATCTAACCCATCTTTGACACGTTTCATTTTAAAAATGTCCATCTACCACTTAATTACCTTGGTGACGTCAAAACCGTACCATTTATAAGGAAAAAAAAATGAAACATCTAATATGTGGTATAAGTTGTAGCCAGGTCTGAAAAGTCTGAAAACTAACAACTCTAATCTTTAATACACCAATTACCATTATAGAAGTAATATTTCAATGACAAGTAGTGGGTGCAATACCGATTGTGCAAGGCAATAATGAAACCTACTCTTTTTGACAAACGCGAGTAGTCGCTAAAGAATGCTTCATCCATCAAATAGTTAATTGATTCCACAATTGATAAAACACATATCAATACTCCTTCCTATAAATACCAAGCTTCTCATGCAACAAAATTCAATTCTCCCAAGCAGTCACACACATATAGCTAGAGAGAGTCACTAGAGGGTAGTAAAGAGTGACAAAATGAAAGTTGTTTACTACCTCGTTGCCTTATTGGCTTTGGCATCCTCTGTTGCCTTTGCCTATGATCCTAGCCCCCTGCAAGACTTCTGTGTGGCAATCAATGATACCAAAACTGGTGGTATATATATATATATATATATACATTCTTACATAAATTTTATAGCTCGAATTTTAAGTTTCGGATAAGTTATATTTACAAATTATACTATGTACTACTCATAGTACATTTTGTAAATAAAAAATTTATAAATATAATCATGCTCTTCTTTAGGTTACATCAAGTCAAGAATTAATCATGATAAATTTCTTTGTGATTTGTTTTCTTCTTTCTAATTTACAGTATTCGTGAATGGAAAATTCTGCAAAGATCCTAAACTTGCCAAAGCCGAAGATTTCTTCTTTTCAGGACTGGGACCTGGGAACACATCAAATCCACTTGGCTCAAAAGTGTCTCCAGTCACTGTGAATGAAATATTAGGACTCAACACACTTGGTATATCCTTGGCACGCATAGATTTTGCACCAAAGGGTCTAAACCCTCCTCACACTCACCCTCGAGGCACAGAGATCCTCGTTGTTGTGGAAGGTACTCTTCATGTTGGATTTGTCGAGTCCAATCCCAATAATCGTCTTTTCACCAAAGTGCTGAATAAGGGTGATGTATTTGTGTTCCCCATTGGTCTCATTCACTTCCAGCAAAACGTGGGTTATGGTAATGCTATTGCCATTGCTGGCCTTAGTAGCCAAAACCCAGGAGTTATTACGATTGCAAATGCTGTGTTTGGATCTAAACCACCTATCTCTCCAGAAGTTCTCACCAAAGCTTTTCAGGTGGACAAAAACATAATCGACTATCTTGAGAAGCAGTTTTGGTACAACAATAGTTAATTCAAGAACAGAACATGAATCATCATATCATCGTGCTTGGACCTTGGATAAATAATTTTCTCAAATTTGCCTCATGAGGTCGATTCTCTCAAAGTGATTAATACTATAATAAATAAAATGCATGTCGGTATTATATGTAACTGGTGTAATTGTTCTGTGTGGATTTCTTTTTTTTTTTTATACATGTTCTGTACTGTGGATTTTAACTTGGTTTGATATATCAATGTTGCAACTTTAATAAACAATATTGTACCTGTCTCTCTTGCCCATAATAATTTGTTAACAAGATAGTGAAAAATGGAAATGGATTCTTTCATATATGTTTAAAAAAAAAATGGCATGGTAACGTGGAATAATCATAACCATATAAAGATGAATCAACAGTTATGATTTAGTAACTATTTATTTTTGGACATACACACCCCTACATGGATATGGGCCCAACCTATATTTGAACCTAATTAAGTGTGTCTATCTTAAGTACTCTCACTAAGCAAGAAAGCCTCAATTATTCATTGGGAGTAGATCCTTTCATGTTGAAAAAGACATGATATCGTCATAAGACAATCATAACCATGCAAAGATGGAACAATGTTAATAAAGAAAAGAGAGAGAAAATATTAAAATAAATAGTTACTAAATTATAATCATTGATTCACTTTTGCGTGGTTATGATTATTTTTTTAAACATGAGAGAATATAGGGGAAAAAACACAAATATTACTATGAACTTTTAAATTTGGATTAAAAAAGGCCTTTTAACGTTTCAAAACATATGGATAAACCCTACTACCGATTATATAAATTATAGGCATTCATTAATATACGTAATAATTGTTAATCCATTTGTATTAATTTTTTTTTTTTAAATGTCCTTTCAATATAATTTAGTTCAAATTTAAATAATATTTTTATTTTATGGATATAGATAATTAATAAAATTATTCTACTAAAAAAAATTAAAAAATATTATGTGTATTATTTAACACATGCAAATGTGTATAACAGGATTTGAGAGGGGCCTTAAATATTTGTCTGGTTAACATGCCTAATCAGGAACAGCTTCAACTAGTCTAATGATGTTACTGTTACGGAATCAACTATATACGCATTTTGGATGCATTTTCTTCCTCGGCAAAACATGCTGATTATTTAACAACAAGAATGTTTGTCTTTTTAATTGGCATAACTTATATTGTTTTACTCTCATAAAGAACTAGGATTTACACCTTTATTTTTTTGTTCACTTTCTCTCCTTCATATTTTGTCTCTTTTTTTCACTTAAAATGATACAATTTTACATCCTTTAAAATAATACATACTTTTTCGTTATTTAATTAGTTTATACAAAGGAAACTGAGGCATTTTATGGGGAGGTAAGTTAAATGATTTGATATCATTCATTCAAAATCATATATTGAGGAAGATTTTTAACGCCATTTGTTTATGCTGCTTTAACAAGGACGACAAATTACATCAATATATGTCACTCGAAAATATTAGATTAAAATATATTTATTTAAAATAACTAATTCTATATTTTTATAAAACATGTGTTATTTTTTTTAAAAAATAAAATTTATTTTTATTGACTTTTCACCAATTTTAAATTTAAATTTATTTTTTAAATTTTTAAAAAAAATTATGGGATGTGAAATGTTTACTAATACATAAATAATGAGACAGGATATACTTACCACAAAAAAGTTTACTACATTTACAATCAATTTAATCATCGTTAATTTTCGTCAATCTAACAGTTATAATTTATTGGAGATTAATAATTAATTAATAAATACGACCCAATAATTTTTAATAGATTATAACCGTTAGATTGACCGAAATCAACAATGATTAAGTTGGTTATAAAAGTGATAAACTTTTTTGGTGGTAAATATATATTTCCCCTACATTACATAATAACATTAATAACATCTAAGTATTAGTGAATATTTACTAATAGCTAATTAATCCCTTTAATATCATGAATGAACTTGGACATGCATTGAGGAGTCTTGTATTAATTTTAGTCAGCAATTAAATTCTGGGCATACGACACCACGAACAAACTAAGTGGGTTACAGCTAGGGGTGTAAATGGGCTGGGCTGGGCTTTGGCCATCCTGGCCCAAGCCTACGTCAAAAAAAATTTAGCCTATCTGGCCTACTGGCCTATTAAAGACTTTATTTGTAGGCCAAGCCCGGCCCATTTTCAAAAATAAGAAAGCCTGACATGGCCTACATGCCTTGTAGGCCTCCCGCTATATATACTAAGCAAAAAAAATAATTGTATAGAGCAAAGAAAGTTCCAATCATGAATGCACTAGTACTTCTCATAAGAAAAAAATGACAAACAAGAAAGAGTCAACATAATACCTCAGCTCTAGAATGTATATCATAGAGGAATAGAGTCAAAGAAATGGGAAAAATAAGAAAAATACAATTACTAGATGCTGAAATAAAGTCTACAAGAGAATGTCATTCATCTAAAAATCTTTAAACCACCATCAAGACAAGGGAAAGAAGAGTATTATTGAAAGATCTTCATCAGTAACATCATAATCCAGCAAGGTACTCATTGTTCCATGGTATTAAGTTGCAACAGCATGTAGAATTTGGAGACATTAGACAAGTTTTCCTTTCATAAAATAAAATAGCACAAAAAGTAAGAGATATTGGTATTTGGCACTTTGTGTCTTTGCCACATAAAATAAATATTATTTTATTTTAATAAATTAAATAGGCCAGCCTACAAGGCTGTAGGTCGGGCTTGACAAAATTGGCCTATGGCTTATTTATTAAAAAAGCTATTTTATAAGCCTAAGCCTACTCTACTTTTCTGAAAGGCTAGGCCTGGGCTGGGCTCAATGTAGGCCGGGCCGTAGGCTGGGCTGGGCCAGCCTGGCCCATTTACACCCCTAGTTACAGCATTTGATAATAAAATTTCAAAGAGGCTACTCATCGAGTAAATTAGTGAAATGAGTACATTTTCATTATTAAATTACACGAAAATGATCCTAATTTAAAATTATATAAATTTCACTAAAAATGATCCTAATTCCAATTCTTCTTCTTATATAAAGTTCACTATTTTGTTACTCGTTTTCAAAGATTAAAATGGCACTTTCTTCAGTCTAAACAAGTGAAGCTAGCACATTGATAAGCATGAAATACTATTGTTAGTAGAGAAGCGGAATTTCCAAACTTTGTTCCTCTAGTATCAAGAAACACGCTTCGGATTTTGGTATGTCTTTTGAAACACAACTATTTCAATAATTGATTTTTTTTTTTTTAAACTATTGCACACAGTTTTATCGTTGCAAAACAGCCTTATTTCAATAACTTATTTTTTTTAATATACATTTTTAGGTAAAAAAAAATTTTCCCAAAAATATATCAGTTTCAGTTACGCAAAATGCCACCCCTGAATTAGGCTTACAATTTTTTTAAGAGGGAAAGTGTTGAGTATGACTCATACTTCGCATATTGATGATGACCCTTGTTGTTTCCAGACCCGTAGAAGCTAGGTACTATAGTGGACCTTTGATTTATTGTAACTTTTCTTTTCTTTTTTCGTAGTTTGGGCTTGGGCCCATGTATAGCTGTTGTTAGACTTTTCTAATCATATTTATATTCTCCTTGTAAACCGAGTGACTTGTAACGAGTGACAGTGATGTGAATATAGTACAGACAAACTGAACGTAGCCTACATTGGGTGAACCAGGATAAATTTCGGTTTCAAAATTCTCTCTTCTCTTTCTCTTTTATTTTTCAATTTCTGTGTAATTGTCGATTTCCAACATTTGGCATCAAGAGCTTTGGTTTTGCGACCGGGGTTCCTATGGTAAATTGGGGTTTCAGGATTTGGGATTTTTCTTGGTATAGAGAAAACTGCGAAATTGATCTGGAAAGGATGTCGACTGGCCAATCACGGATTGAGGTTGAAAAGTTTGAAGGAAAAATGGTTCGAGTTATGGAAATTGAAGGTGGAGGCTTTGCTCGTTGACAGGGACATATGGTACGTGATCGAAGATGAAAAGCCATTACTATAATTATTAGAGTCTTATAATAATTATAAAGGTCAATTATGGAATTATTTCCTAATTTTACATAATTAATTAATTAACTTTGGAATCATGTGATTAAGGGCTTATGGCTTGGTGAGAAGCCTTAAGACGTAAAACGTAATGAAAAGACGTTGTCTTTATGTTGTATACTTGTAAAGTATGATTGTTGATGTATTGTTGGTCCATAACAGATTGTGAATCTACTGTGTTTGGACTTTGAGCTGTGGACTCTTGGCTTTGGGTGTTAGCTTGCAAGGTAAGCTTTCGTGTCCTCGGTTTAGCCATGTTGTGGTTCCACCATGTCCCATGGGGGTATGGTTATATGCATGCTGTGTTACATGCTTTTGATATATGAAATGTTGTTGAGCTTTATGTGTTAATGGCTTTTAATATGCATGTGTTGTTCCATCTTGACGGTAAGCCTGAGTATGTGGCGTCATACAAGACGGCGATCCGAGGTGGATGCAAGTAGCATCTTGCACTATTTGTGGGTATTAGACGTATATAAATCCTGCATTTCTCTGGCCAGTAGAATAGAATTGACACACATGACATGATTATCTGCTGCATTGCACTATTTTAGAACTGATGATGATAAACTGCTTTTGAACTTATATTGCACATGTAAGTGAGCTTGGGGTGGAAGATCCTTGAGGACCCCTTGCCTTACTGAGATTTCTTGTTTAGAGATCTCACCCCACGTTTGGAGAATGCTTATTTCAGGTTCAGATAGTATGGTGACTAATGCCTCTGGCGGTAGGAGGTCAGAGCTTAGCTGATTATGATATTTATGCTGTATTGCTGACATGATTGGATTGGATGCTGTTTTTGTTTTCTGCTCTTTATGTTTTGAGTTGAGACTTATGTTGGGCTTTGTTGCCTTATTTGGGTGAGCATGAGAGTTGTCCATGCCACTATGTTGTTAGTACTTTTGAGTCAAGTTGTATAAACTGCTAGTTGGTCCGGTCTACGTGTTGTAGTTCCGTGACTAGAGACATACATGATGTTATTTTAATTAATGAGGTATTTCAGTTAGCTGTTTTATTAATTGATTAATAAGCAAGTTGGTAATGATAATGACATCATAATTGAAAAGAAAAATATATTCCGCAATTTTTAATTAAGCGCAGCTTAATACGATAGTATGATAACATTACTGGA